CCGGACCCGAAACGTTAACTCTGTTTTCTCCTTCACAGATGCTGCCAGACCTGCTGAGCTTTTCCAGCAACTTTGTTTTTGTTACCAACTTTTATACTCGATGTCCCGGCTGATGAAGGCAAGTGTGCTTTATGCTTTCTTTGACCACTTTATCCACCCGTGTTACCACTTTCAGAGATCTGTGGACCTGTATGCCCTGATCCCTCTATGTCAATGCTTTTAAGGGTTCTGCCATTTATTGTATAATTCACGCCTGAATTTGATCTTCCAAAATGCATCACTTCGCATTTGTCTGGATTAAACTCCATCTGCTATTTCTTCACCCAAATTTGCAATGTATTTATATCCTGCTGTATCCTCTGACAATCCTCCTCAATGTCTGCAACTCTGCCAATTTTGGTGTCATCCACAAACTTACTAATCAGTAACCACCTATATTTTCCTCCAGATCATTTAAATATATATTACAAACAACAAAGGTCCCAGCACTAATCCCTGTGGAACGTCACTAGTTACTGATCTCCATTCTGAAAAGCACTCTTCCCCGACTACTCTCTATCATCTACGATCAAGCTAGGTCTATATCCATCTAGCCGACACATCCCATGAGACTGTACCTTTTTATCAGTCTGCCGTGAGGTACCTTGTCAAGTGTCTTCCTAAAATCCATATAGACAATGTCTGTTGCCCTGCCCTCATCGATCATTCTTGTCACCACCTCAAAAAGTCTTAACCAAGTTGGTAAGACATGACCTTCTCCACACAGACCCATGCTGCCTATCGCTAACAAGTCCATTCACTTCCAAATGTGAATAAATCCTGTCTCTATCTTCAGCTTCCCCACCATTGACGTCAGGCATCACCTTCCCTGTTTACTTCCCACCCTTTCAAATCCCAGTAGCCTATTCCCTCATTGCTCATGTTAAGCTAAGTGTTGCATAATTTTAGAAGGACAAGAAGTATATCCGTTTAAGCTGCAATGTATATTTTGCTGCTGCTAATGTGAAACTGTGTAATGTGGCCTGTTAAAGATGACAAGGTCCAAATTCCTGAAGTTAAATATAGGCTGTTGTGTAAGTGGGCATTCTTTGTCGTCTTGTTTAAGTACCCATCATCACCTTGCTACTACTTATATCTGAAATCTTCTCCAGGCCCACAACTGTCCACAGTTTCTATGTTTCTCTAATTCTGGCCTCTTGTGCATCCCACCCACCATTGACTGCCCAGGCTTCAACTTCTGGAATTTCCTCCCTACACCTCTGAGCTGTGACCTTGATTGTCTCCTTTAAGACAGCTTATATTACCTACCCCTTTGACCAGTCTTTTTTTCATCTAACGTATTGTATCCTTATGTGGCTCCGTATCATGCTTTGTTTTGCAATGTTCCCGTGAAGCACCTTGGGGCATTTAATTAGGTTGATCTTTTGACTATGGAGGCTGAACAGTTGGGTATGAAGTCCCTCTTTGATCAAAATCTATAAATGTATACTTTATAGTTAACTCACTGCAGACATCATGGCTGAAAATCCTGAATAATTTTTATTTTCCTGCTCGCCCCACCTAATCTAGGGATGTAGAAGCCAGATGTGGTCTCCATGTTATTGCTCTGCCCTAGACTTGATCTTTTGCTCAGGCTTGTTCTTAGTGAAAAACTGACAGCATGTTCAGTGCTGTCTTTTTCTCAAAAGGCCTGTTTGGTGTCAGTTGTATTTGTCTGTAGAGCTGCTGTTCTGTGAATCCAAGATGTAGCTTCCAATGTTTTTGTTAGATTTGCTGTCTTGGTTGTCTTATCTGCATAAGTACGCAGGAATGTGTGCGTAATGACATAAACTGCATGGGGAAACTTCCAGAATCCAAACTACCAGAACAATAAAGAGCAGCTAGTGTGGGAGAGTATCTAGAAACCTTCTCCCTTATAATGGCACGAATCCAAGGAGTATGATTTGATCATTACTCTTCCATTCTTTGTAGAATCCTGCAGGGTAGCAAAATAACATCCATCACAAAGAAAGCATTTTCTGGGCTGGAAACACTTGAATACCTGTGAGTATCTACTTCAAAATATTCCTCAATTGTGGAGTCACCTTACACCAAAATAAAATTTAATAGCATTTTCTATTGTATTTGCTTTATAAATTAGTCCTTGAGTTTCCATTTCTAATTGCCATTTGTCAAATAATTCTATGGGTGAAAGATTTCTGTGCCAGGTTTTAACTCCACTTCAGCCTAGCCCCTATGGCGTGTCAGTTGTTGAGGGAGAATGACTCTGACTCTGGTATGTACTGCTTATTGAGCAGGAGGCAGAGAACACAAAAACGTTACTGGTACTTTTCATCTCCGAGCTGTATAGTTTTCTGGGTGCACACCCATAGGTTTGGGATGTTTTAACATGAGAATTTAGATGCAGATCTGATTTTCTCAAGATGTGTTAATATCTTTCTGATTTTAAGCAGTGACCATTGTTTAATCATCCTTGCCCACTTTAAGATGCCACACACACCAATTGAGAAGGTACTACACATTCTGTTCTTGTCCCCTTTAAGATGCTGCACAGGATTGGCCACGCAAAATAGTTTTAAAGATATTTTGCAATTAAATGGACAGGTGACATGTAGAGAGAGTTTAGAGGGGTCATTGGTCATCATCCTGATTAAATGTCCACCTATTAGATGAACTGACCCAAGAGGCACTATTTCAAGAGGAGGTGGGAATTCTCCTAGTGTTCTGGTCAAACCCGCTTCCTCTAAGCCACCAAAAACGAAACATTAACCAGACCTTCAGTTCATCAGTTTTTTTTTAAGAGGTCTTGCTGGGTGTAAAATGGTGACTGACCTCTTTTGCATAAGTCACTGCGCTTTAAGAATGAACCATTGTGAGTGAAGTGCTTTGGTATGTTAAAACTCTGGTATTCCTTTCAACTTATAGTTTTTGAATAAGTTTACTTCATCTTTCTTGCAGAGATTTGAGCAACAATGCTATCATGTCTATTCAAGAAAATTCTTTTGCCCAAATGAGCTTGAAGGAACTGTGAGTATTTAAAATATACTATTAAATTAATCAGTACTGCATGAAGTAATTTAATTAGAAAACCTTCTTATGGATGAATGCATTCCTCATTCATGTGTACAGCCTTCATCACTGAATCCTCAGTGATGCCTGATCATTATTTAAGAGTTGTCTGGGTTGAGAGTTGAGTTGGTGGGGGGGAGGGAGGCAGGTGGTCTTTGTAATCAGTAGTAATGTCAGCAGTTTGGGCAACTTCTAGCAAGTGTTTGAATAGTGAGTGGTTTAATGAGAAATGGTGAGTAGGTAAATGAAGGAGTTGCTTTTGCTTCCTAAAACAGTTCACCACACACTGAGGTTCCTTTGAAATAATTGCTGTCTTAAGGTTCAGCAGTGAAGGTGGCTGAGTTGGGATAAGCAGGTGATGGAAAGGGATATCCTATTACACCGGTAACACAAACCCTGTAATTGGTAAGCTTTATTTTGAGAAAGACAGCTGTGGAACTTAACTTGCTGGTTAAAATGTCAACTAAGATTGGTGTTTGTGTTCAGATGGATGAGCAAGTTCTGGTCCTTGAGTTTTGTTAGTGGGATTTGCATTTAAGAATGCTTAAATGTCCTTAATTAATCAATTTATTTTAAGAGGTTTAAGGCCTCCATTAAATAGACATATTATTTCAAGGCTCCAACAATTTTACCAATAGGTTGCCAGAACCATAAATGGGTTGACCTGAATTACTTGCTGATGAATTTTGGTCAGCAGAAGGCCATTCAGCCCCTTGAGCTGATTCTGCTGCATTCAGTGAGATCCTGGCATTTCTGTATCTTCACTCTGTTTACCCGCCTTGATTTTATTTCACTTGATATCTTTTATGCAACAAAAATTAATGGGAAGCAGCTCGTGTTTTGTTATGAGTCTGTTGTTAGCTGTTATTAGTACAAGTGTTGGGCACATGATCACTACTTTCAAGAAAGATGTATTGTTCAAATTCACTAACACCTCCTTGATGCATTGAGGATTTGGCTATAAACAGCGTCCTTGTTGGTGGTTACCCTGTGCCAATGCGAAGACTAATTTAAATAGGTTGCAATCTGCTACCAGTGATATTGCTGGGAGAGTGCTTTTCTTTTTAATTCATAAACAAGATGCTCATTTTAGAGCATTGCTAAATGCTGTGCAGTGTGTTTATTACTTAGCTGCCACTAAATTGCCAGTTACACTTGTATAATGTCACATGTTGTGCCACTCTTATTGGGTTCAGTGTCCTCTTTGTGGAAGATTAATGTCTCAATTAAATGCTGTCCAAGCCCTAGCAATAATTATTCCTATGTAACCAAACCACTTTGTCTTCACCTTGTGACGACTTAGAGTTCCTTTTTCAAAAGCCTCCTATAATTCATTGTCTCACACTTAATTCCCCTCTGTTGCACATTTCTGAAGGGTGTCCATTTTTATTTGCCCTCCACAGGGGTCTGAACACATCCAGTCTTCTGTGTGACTGTCAGCTGAAGTGGCTGCCTCAATTTCTAAAGGAAAAACAGTTTCAGCATATGGTCACTGCTAACTGTGCTCACCCTGTATGGCTGGCTGGGAAAAACATTTTTAATGTTGATGCAGAGGATTACATTTGTGGTTTGTATAATTCATGTTTATTAAGTCTTGATTCACAGCTAAAAATCTTAGCAAGTACTTGTATGCCTCAACTTGTTTTGTTAAGTTTTCCCTTATTTTTTCCTGAATCTGCAAAGTTAAATGAATGTGTCAATAAGTGGAAGATGCAAACTGGACTTAATAACAACTGGTGTTCATGATGTAACTTGTTACAAACATTGCATTGAAAATAAAAGATATCAGACATCAGCTGTTTGATTGAATTAACTACATGGCAAAATTGACACTGTCCAGTTTGTTAGTTCATTAAAACTACAGCTCGTAGAATTAAAGGGACAGTTGCAACATGGGTACAAAATTGGCTGAATAATAGGAAACAGAGTCTTGGTTAATGGATACTTTTCGGGCTGGCAAAATGTTTATAGAGACTTTCTTCGGAGTTAGTATTGAAATCCTTTTCCTGATGTAGAACTTTGCCCCCTGCATACAATTTCAGACCTGGAGGATGATGCAAAACTTGGAGGCATTAAAAACTGAGGAGGATGGTGAATAATTCAAGAGGGCATAAACAAGTTGATGGAGTGGACAGAAAGATGGCAGCTGAAATTCAGTTCAGGGAAGTCTAAGGTCATGCCTTTTGTTAGGATGAACATAGACAGACAGTCGAAAATGGGAGTTACAAAAGTTGAGGGTGCAGAAGCAGACAAATCTATGCATAGGTGACACACAGGTGGATAGTATTAATAAAGTGCACAATCCTGAACTGTAAATAAAGGGCAAAGAGCACAAGACAAAGGAAGTTATGCTGAACTTGTTAGACTCTACCTGGAGTATTGTGTACAATTCTGGTCATCACGCTGTAGGAGGGACATTGAAGTGAGTGCAGAAGAGATTTAGAAAAATTATTCCAAGGATGAGAAAGTTCAGTTATGAGGATAGATTGGGACTGTTCTCTAGAAGTGAAGAAAGCTAAGAAGAGAGAAAATAAAGTTTTCAAAATCATGGGACATCTGTTGGTGGGACGAATCTGTTCCCACTCGTAAAAGAATCAAGAACGTGACTGTGCAGATTTGAAGTGATTTGCAAACATAGCAAATGTAATGTGAGAGAAGAAAAACTATTTCACAAAAATTTGTTCAGGCATGGAATGCAATGTATGAAAGTATGGTGGAGTCAGGTACAATTGAGGCATTCGAGGGCTGTGGATGATTATTCAAATAGAAATCGTGTAAGGACATGGGGAAAAAGGCGAGAGAATGGCTCAAAGTCATAATGCTTTTGGAGAGCTGCTTCAAACACAGATTGAATGCCCTCACTCTGCACTATAACAATTCTGAGATTGTACTCTTGTAAGTTAAATAGAATAAATTTATATGCTTATTCCCTGAATTGGAGGGGCTAGATTCTCTTCTGTGTTCCTACAGTTGACTGATGATGATATTGTACATGAAGGCATGACGACAGGTTGCACAGATTAGGCTTACATTCCCGTTAGAAGATGAAGGGTATTCTAACTGAGGTTTTGAGATGGCTAAAGGAATAAATAGGACCTGTTCTCTTTAGTGGGACGTAGAAAGTCCAGAGTAAAAGTGGCATGATCCGAACAACTTAGCTCAAGATTTATGTTCTAAGTAGTTCTTGGTGAAAAGATAAGTGAAAATCTGTAATCCTCTTCACCAAAAAAGCTGATGAAGAGTTAACAGCAAAATGGCAAAACTGAGATTTAATTTTGTGCATAATGTAGGGTATGGACCCAAAGCAATGATACCAAGATACAGATCCATTATGATCCAATTGAATTGTGCAGATACAAGGGCTAAATGGCCTTGTCCCACTCCCATGTTTCTGGTCTCCTCTACTTGGCAACTTTTGTATGTCCTGTTAACTATTTAGCATTTATAATGTATTCGGTTACATTGATGCCAGTTAGAAAACGATACATGTATCAGCTATTTTAGATGCATTTTGTTTTACAAGTAAGCATGTTCACACTGCAGCCCAGATGAATGTGTTGGAAACTATACTGCTGCCAGTTTTGTTTCAATGTGTTCTTCACACTTGTCATTTGAGGGTGCTTAAGTTCAAGACTCCTTTTGAAGACCTAAACTCCATTTGTACTGAGCTTTCCTTTGTTGGGCCCACTTGACTTAAGGGTCCAACGATTCCACAGCCATTCAAGTAGTTCTTGTAGCATGTCCACCTGATTTTGTATTGGCTTAAGTTACTCATTATTCAGTCATATCCAATTTACAAAGCTTGGATAATGTTGGTGTGCCTAGCTGTTGAGAAGGCAGAGGAAAATAACAAAATAAAGTTTTTTTTAAAAAAAAGTTCTGCGTGCAGAATGAGCTAAGAAAATATATTTTGTATTTGCATGCATAAAGATGTAATTGGTCAAGAGGTCAAACTGATACCTCTGCTCTTACTTTATTTGTAATTATTTAGCTAATATCTATCTAGATTATATATCAAATACTGTGTGAGATTCACACAGTTCCTGTTAACTTTTTCCTTAAATTTCATTGTACCCATTTATAAAGGAAGCTGTCTTTGCAAACTTGTAAGTGCAACCTTTCTTCAAATGGGGGCAATATGACTACACTACGACAAGTTGACAAAGATGTTTTTTAGGGCTGAAAACATGAAAGGGCAGAATGTAACTGAACCACATGTTGCACACCGTGCCTTATTATCCATGGTTTCCAATTCTGTTTCACCTAAATGCTGTTCTGACTGTTCTTGATTTGCCAGGGATCAACTAATTCCTGATGGACCAATTACAGTTTTCTGAAAGGAAATGTTTTGCCTGTTGAGAAGCTTTTACAAATAAAATTACTTTGAAGAAGAGTAGCCTTTAGACAACATAATGTTACAGAGTAAAAGCAATTTAAGACTGATAGAGACATAACCAGGTCATGATTATCCCAAGGACGTTGAAGTGTAGAGCAGCAAATGGGGAAGAGAATATATGAAATCATAGAATCATAAAGTCTCTACAATGCAGAAAGAGGCCATTCTGCCCATCGAGTCTGTACTAATCCTCTGAAAAGCATTCCACCCAGGCCCCTCAGTATTTCCAATGGCTAATCCACCTCTCTTGCACATCCGTGGACACTATGGGGCAATATAACATGGCCAATCCACCCTAACCTGCACATCTTTGCACTGTGGGAGGAAACCCACGTAGACACGGGGAGAATGTGCAAGCTCCAATAGACAATCACCCAAGACTGGAATTGAACCCGGGTTCCTGGTTCTTTGACACAGCAGTGCTAACCACCGTGCTGCTCCAAATTAAGAGTTAAACAAATATGATATGTGTGAGAGATTTACATTTGCATTCTGTGGTTTGAATTTGCTCAATTGTATGATCTGATGTTGCAAATCTTGGTGCTCATTGCCCATTTGTTCCGTTTATCTGCCTGTATTTGTATAATTGGAATGTTTTAGCGCAGAAAATAACTTCAGGTTACTATTGGCAGATCAGACTTTGGTTGACAGTAAGGAGTCAAATTGTGTTAAACATTAATGGGTGCAACTGTACTTTTTTGTACTGTTGCCTAAAACTTGGGTGTTGGTTTTTTTTCACTCTGCAGATGCTTTCCCAAAGCCATTGATCACTGCCCATCCTGAAACCACTGTGGCATTGAGAGGGATGAATGTCAGCTTTAGCTGCACAGCCTGCAGCAGCAGTGACTCCCCCATGGTCGCTGCATGGAGAAAGGACAGTGAGTTACTGTACGAAGCTGAAATCCAGAACTATTCTAGCTTGCAAGAACAGGATGGTGAATTTGTCGAATACACCACCGTACTACAACTGCGGAATGTCAATTTCACAGACGAGGGGTGGTACCAGTGTGTCATCACAAATTACTTTGGCTCCAATTATTCTAACAAGGCAAAGCTAACTGTGAATGGTATGTTGATTTGTTTGCAGGCTAGGGATGGAGGAGTGCATTGTCTTTATGTACTGTTCGACTGTTTGCGTTTTGCTCCATAATCCTATATGTGAATAGATATATCTGAAAGCAGTAGTGTAAAATTTGATTCATACAGTGACTGAAATTAACTGTAGCTCAAGTCCCTGCTGGAAACCAGGTTTGTAAGTGCTATTAACTACATAATTTGTAACTGTACTATCAATTTATTATGTTTTTAAACAGTTTGGAAAACTCATTTATTCCCAATTGAGTAACAATTTTATATTTACACTTTCTCTGCATTTTAAGTGTATTTTCTTTTTTACTGATTCTCCTTATCATCTTCATCCCTCCACATTTAAACTGGTACCTTATTTTAAACCTAAAGGCATGAAAAAAGAATGGGTGAGAACTTTCTCAGTTTCATTTTTTTCACCTTTAAACCTGTCCCTTGCTTCCATGTTGCTCTTCCCTCCAGAAAAGAATGAACATAAGTAGTTATGGATATATCATCCAACCTTCACACTATATCTTTGTTGAAACATCTATGTATAGAATTAATGGGTTGCTTTGTGAATTAAAGACCATGGCTCTGCTATTAATGTATCCATTAATACATTCTCAAAATGTATGCTTGTAATAGGTCAGAAACAAAATGCTAAACTGAATGCTCAATAAATTAAAATAAAAATATATGGTCATCTTAACTTGGGGCAACTATATAGTATAAAATCTGTTTCCTTTTACTTTCTGGTCTAATTTTTAATAAAAATAGATGTGCATTCATAGTTTGGAGGAATGAATTATATGCTATCTTCGTCCCTGATCATTCAGCGACTCAGGCCAAAAAGACATATCACAGATCAATATTTTCCTTCAGTCTCAGGTAGACTGGATAATGTTCAACAGATTTAAGCAGTTTTTCATTGTTTTTAAGAACTATGCATTTTATTGAATTGTTGGAATCCAGATAAATCGACTGTAAGTTTCACTTGGGCTTCTCTGTTTGTTCTTGATTCCTATTTCCTTTGCCACAGGAGTATGAACAAGTAGAGAAGTTATAGATAAGTTTATTATCCCAGTAAGCTTTAAATTGAATAGTGATTAGATTATTGCCTTAATATTTTGCATTCACCTACTTGGAAAGCTCTGGAATACTCCATCCAAACTATATTACACCTCTAGCCATCTCTTTTCCTTTAAATCCCATAAAAACCCAGGTCTTTGACTAAGCTTTTGGTCATCTGAGTCAGTTCCTTGATGCCAAATTTTGTCTTGAACGTACTCCTGCATGGTGTCTTAATATTTTACTGTATTGAAGGCGGTAAATTAATGAGAGTTTCTTGTTGCTGACATAATTGTTTGCTGCTTGTTTTGTTTCTATTTAGAACTTCCTTCATTTATGAAAACCCCCATGGATTTAACAATCCGGACAGGTGCAATGGCTCGGCTGGAGTGTGCTGCAGGAGGTCACCCAATGCCACAGATTGCTTGGCAGAAAGATGGCGGCACAGACTTTCCAGCAGCACGGGAACGGCGTATGCATGTCATGCCAGAGGATGATGTCTTCTTCATTGCAAATGTGAAGATGGAGGACATGGGCATGTACAGCTGTATGGCCCAAAACACGGCAGGGGGCATTTCCGCAAATGCTACACTGACTGTCCTAGGTGAGAGGTTGGCTTTCATGAAGAATGCTGTTAACTTAAGGCTACAGCTGCTTGAAAAAGTTGTGTCTAAATTAATAAAGGAGTAAAGCGATTGCAACTACAGGCACGCGTTTAGATTGATAACCTGGAATAAGTGGGTCCTCTTATGAGGAAAGATGGGACAGGCTGGGCTTGTTTTCACTGCAGTTTAAAAGACCGAGGGGTGATTTTATTGATGTTTATAAGATTCTGAATGAAAGGATATTTACTCATGGAAAGGGTGTTTACTCATGCGGATCCACAAATTGGGGGGGGACGGTTTTAAAATCAAGAGTTCCCCCTTTTAAGATTATGATGAGGGGCAGTTTTTTTTCTGAGGGTTGTGTGAATTTGAAACTTGCTGTTTCAGAAGGCAGTGGAGGTGGCATATTTTGAATATATTTTTGAGAGCGCTGGATAGATTCTTCCTAGGCAGAAGAATGAAGGCTATTGGGGTAGATGGGAATGTATAATTTGAAGCATGAAGAGATCAGCCGTGATCTTATTGAATTTTTTCCAATTCTTAAATGCTGGTAAAAGTAAGGAGGTGGATTAATCAGGCTAATTTACAGTAATTAAATTTGAAATTAAGAAGTTGCGTTCCTCATGCGGAACATTGGTATATTTCGCTTGAAGTACTTTGATCAGTTTTGATCTCCATTTTGTAAGACAAACAAAGCAGGCCTACAGAAGATACATAAAAGGTTTACACAAGAATTCATACCAGAATTGAGAGGTTATAGCTAACCTAAACTGGAGTTCTTTATTCTTTCTTTAAGTGCCAAGGGGTTAGTTGATAGAGACCTTTGAAATCATAAAAGAGTACAGGTAGAAAAGATGTTTTCACTCAGAGACCAAAAGTGTGGTCTGAGTATAAAACAGTCATTAACCAATCCAGTAGGGAGTTTAGGTGAGAAGTCTCTACCTAGAATAGTGAAAATTTGGAACTCACTTGCTCAAGAATGGCTCAAGTAGAGAGTATAGATGTATTTTAAGGGAAAGTTGAATAAACATGAGGCAGAAAAGAATGGAAAGATATGTTGATGGCATTAGGTGAAGAAGGAAGGGAGGAGGATCTAGATGAGTTTGCTGCCGGAAGACAAGTCTAACCTACAGTACTGTGATCTCAACTACTGATGTGGCACGGCAGCTGGTCTCAGGTGGACTCTAGCCAGAATGGGATCAAACCCCATGTTGTTTACACCAAGCAGATCCACATTGTCAATCCAACCAACCAGTCCCCCAAAGAATCTGAGTTGCTGTGACAACATATACTTCTTTAAATGCATGTTGTAGCCTGGAGCTACGGACAGTGATGTTAGCTTCCAAAGTATGGTTGAGTAGGAATCTCTTGGTCTTAATGCATCCCGTTGGTTTATGTCAGAGGGATTTACAAGTTGATGCTTTATTGATTTGGCCACGTAATGAATGCACCTTCCTGGCGTGGGTCTTGAGACCAATGTATCAAGGCTCAAGCAGGGGCACTACCTCTGCCCCACAAAGCCTGTGGCGGAAGGTTATCTGAACATAAACACTGGCAGGGTTAAAAGTTATAAATTCTGTTTTTGTTTCATGAAGACAAATTGAATTTTGGCTGCTTGCTAGTTTCTTGTTGCCTTGACCAACATTTCACTATATTCAACTCACTGAATTGAAGTTCCTTAACCAAAGTGGATGTGTCTTAGTTCACAAAGTAACTTTGTGTCATCAGCAAATTTAAATATATAACTTTCTAAGCCATTGCTCAAGTTGGCAATAAACAATGTGAATTATGTAAACTTGAGGTATTTGCAAAATTTTTAACCCTCTGTTACCAGGCTGGACTAATCTGGTTAACTTATGTACTCCTCTATTCTCTTCCCCTGCTCTCAGAAACTCCCTCATTTGTGCGGCCATTAGAAGATCGGACTGTTGCTAGAGGAGAGACTGCAGTTTTACAGTGTATAGCTGGTGGTAGCCCCACTCCACGTCTGAACTGGACGAAGGACGATGGCCCTTTAACTGTAACAGAGAGACACTTCTTTGCTGCTGCCAACCAGCTTCTGATCATTGTAGATGCTGGTCCAGAGGACGTTGGGAAGTATACCTGTGTCATGTCAAACACGCTTGGGACAGAGCGTGGGCACATTTATCTGAATGTGATTCCAACTTCCAACTGCGACTCCATGCAGAAAACTTCAGTCTTTGGAGACGATGGCTGGACAACAATTGGAATTGTAATTATAGTTGTGGTGGTTTGTGTCGTGGGCACGTCTCTGGTTTGGGTGATTGTTATCTATCACATGAGACGGAAGAGTGAAGATTACAGTATTACAAATACAGGTATGCAAGTTTAAAATGGTGTTCATGTCACCATAAAGTGTTACACTGTGACATTTTTATTTCTACTGTAAGTTTCTACATCTGCATTTATTAATGAAGTTACCTATATAAATACTCCTAACGTAACTACAGTCTCCTGATAGTGGTAGTGCTGCAACAAGTTTATATATATACCTTCTATTATAAATGCTAGCTTGGACTATTCCATTAAAATCTGTGGGGACTAATTCCCTCTGTATTCAAACTGGAACTTGAACAGTCTGTATGGTTCAATGAAACAAAGCATCTATACCAAGATGTTAACCTGCCATTTTTCTCCCCACATACTGAAGCCCCGCTATGTAGTTTCTTCTTTTCCTGCAACGCCTGGCCCAATCCAGTTGGAACTCGTGTACACTTATATTTTGTGCACAATGACAAAAAAGAGCGCAGACATGGTTTTATTATGTGTGTAGTCAGTGTTGACTGTAATTTTCCTCGGATGGCAATATTTGATGTGTTAATAGATTCCAGGACCACTGTGACCCAAGTTAGAGTCTGGCCACATGATAGTTTCTGTTGTAATTCATTCCAAGAAGTGGTTTCTAGGGGTATAAAGCAACTATTCTAGTGTAAAGAGAAGATTTCTTCAGGTGCATGTGTAATAGATGGGCCTAAATTGTGAAGGTTATTCCTGTATAATGTTTTAACAAGCTTTTTCTGTTCCTCCTAGATGAAATGAATTTACCTGCTGACATTCCAAGCTATCTGTCATCCCAAGGAACGCTGTCTGAGCCTCAGGAAGGCTACAGCAACTCTGAGGCCGGAAGCCACCAACAGCTGATGGCCTCCACTACCCATGGCTACGTGCATAAAGGAACTGATGGTGAGTAAAGTTGGCTGTTCTGATTTGTGCCCTAGTTTGTTGGGATGGTGATTAGACTTCAGGGCCACAGAGTTCTGGCAATAGTTGATAGATTCAAACAGGAAAAAATATGGAGTTAGAAATACAAGGCTACCTTTGCAACCCAAAGCATGATAAAGTTGTGGAATAAATTACCAGAATGGACATTGGAGCAAACAGGGGAGATGCAGGCTGATTAAACATGTCCAATAATGTGTCTTCCCTCCCAATTGAGATCCTCCCCAGGTGAATTTTTTTTTTTTCTTTCAGTGTTCCCAATGATGTAGTAACCTAGTCTTTAAAACTTGTTATTTTTCCCAAATAGGTATTTGCTATGTGGATACTGGAAGTGAGACGGAGGCGGATTTGCTGACCACCCCTTTTGGTACAAATCTGCATGGGAGAATGGGATCTTTATATGCAGGGCGAAGTAGCTTCCACCCAAGTGAACCTCGTGAAGGACTTGCACAGCAGGTCAACCCAGGTATGTGTTACAGCTGCTGTTTCCGTTTGAGGGCACCGAGTGGCACATACTTGGATGGTTTAAAAAAAACCAGCAGCCTAGAAAAATGAGTCTATTTTGAGTACTTGCATAATGTTGTACTTCACTGTGGGTTTGGCCAGTTTATTTTAGACCTACTGGTTCAAGTATTAATCAAGGACTTAAAGGAAAGGTATACAAAGTAACAGCTGCATTTGCCACTGTAGCTGCTCTGAATGTAGTTCTAGGTGGTTACTAAGATAAAATTGTAGATATTTCTGTTTCAATAAGAATCCAACTAAAACTGCTGACGTGGGGTTGGTGCTTAAATAATTTATTTTTAAGCCCTATATCTGTGTTTTCAGGTGCTACTTCTGGGCCGCTAGTGATCTGTTCGGACTGTTATGACAATGCAAACATATACTCAAAGAACAGAGAGTACTGCCCATATACGTTCCTTGCAGAGGAGGATCCCCAGGAACGTGCTCTGACCGGCAGCTTCACGGTACATACTCAGCATGAAGGTACAGCCATAGACAGTCTGGTAACAGAGGCTGACGTGTCCGTTTCTTTAACAAATCACGATAGGATATGCAATCCAGCAAGCACAGTACAGCTGCACAGGAAGGGTAAGTTATTTATTTCACTTATAACCTTGAGTCTCTGCAGCAACAACCAACTTTGAGGCAGAATAACAAGAAATCTACAGACTCCACCTTATAGTGAAAATAGTTTAGAGAATGCTACTATTATTTGTTTAAATTGAGTTTGTACACTTAAAGAGCTTTACACTTGTGATGTCTTAGTTTGAATGTATCTAAAATGGAGTATAGATTGCTACCTGATCATCTTCATTAGCTAACTTTTAAGAGTTTGATCAAGCCAGGTATCAATGGTACTGGGAAATGGTACTAGGCAAACTGGTGCTGTGGGCTGGCAAGTCTTCAGATCCAGATGGACTTCATCCTAGTGCATTAAAAGTGTTTGCCAATAGTAGATTTGTTGACAATTTTGCCAAATTCACTTGATTTAGGAAAGATTCCATTTGACTAGACAGCAGCAAATTAAATACCTCTTTTTCTCAAGACGAGAGGAAGGTTTAAACTAAAGACTAGTTAGCTGGGCATCTGTCATGGGGAAGGTATTGGAATCATTCGTTGTGAAATTATTGTTGGGTATATAGTAAAGCTCAGCCTGGAGCTTGGGGACCAGTGGTGTTCCGCAGGGATCTGTTCTGGGACCTCTGCTCTTTGTGGTCTTTATAAATGACTTGGGTGAGGAAGTGGAAGGGTGGGTTAGTAAGTTTGCCGATGACACAAAGGTAGGTGGAGTTGTGGATAGTGTGGAGGGCTGTTGTAGGTTGCAACGGGACATTGACAGGATGCAGAGCTGGGCAAAGAAGTGGCAGATGGAATTCAACCTGGAAAAGTGTGAAGTGATTCATTTTGTAAGATCGAATATGAATGCAGAAATCCGGGTTCATGGCAGGATTCTTGGCAGTGTGGAGGAACAGAGGGATCTTGGGGTCCACATCCATAGATCCCTCAAAGTTGCTACCCAAGTTGATAGGGTTGTTAAGAAGGTGTATGGTGTGTTGGCGTTCATTGGCAGGAGAATTGAGTATAAGAGTGTGAGGTTATGCTGCAGCTCTATAAAACTCTGGTTAGACCACACTTGGAATATTGCATTCAGTTATGGTCGCCTCATTATATGAAGGATGTGGAACCTTTAGAGAGTGTGCAGAGGAGATTTACCAGGATGCTGCCTGGACTGGAGGGCAGGTCTTATGAGGAAAGGTTGAGGGAGCTAGGGCTTTTCTCATTGGAGCGAAGAAGGATGAGAGGCGACTTGATAGAGGTTTACAAGATGATGATTCGAGGCATAGATAGGGTGGATAGACAGAGACTTTTTCCTAGGGCAGAAATGACTATTACGAGGGGGCATAATTTTAAGGTGATTGGAGGAAGGTATAGGGGAGATGTCAGAGGTAGGTTCTTTACACGGAGAGTGGTGGGTGTGTGGAAAGTGCTGCCGGCAGTGGTAGTAAAGTCAGATACTTCAGGGCCATTTAAGTGACTTTTGGATAGGCACATGGATAATAATAAAATGTAGGGTATACAGGATAGTTTGATCTTAGAGTGGGATAATAGGTCGGCACAACATCGTGGGCCGAAGGGCCTGTTACTGTTCTATGTTCTGTGTAATCAAGTAGAATCAGCATGGTTATGTCAAAGGAAAATCACATTCCTTTGAAAGAGTATAATGAGCAGTGAATACATTGCTTCGATACTAGAATGCATTTGATCAAGTACCATACTAAATATTATTTCAGAAATAAAAGCTCATGGTGTAACATTAACATACATAAATTGACAGACAAGAAACAGAGTACAGTCCCCAAGTTCTATTGTGGTTCCTTTCTGGAGTCCATTCACAAGTCGATGTATATGCAAGTCGGAACACAATGCAGGACAGTATGAAGTATCCATGTATAAGTACAAAAAGCATTTGTATTGTCAAATCTTTAAAATTGCACCCCTGTATAGGATTGCAGTCATGAGTTGGACATTTGTAAATCAGAGATCCATTTATGCAAACAATGGGTCTTTTTGGTAAATTTTGTCTAATTGGTAAGATATTTTAAATAAAAAAAGGAGTCTTGTAGGGGTCTCTGCTCAGCATTGACTTAAATGAGGGAAGCAAAGGCATGGTAGCTAAATATGTGCAGATGCAACCAAGATAGGTAGTAAAGTGTGTTGTGAAGAAGACAGAAGGAAGTTGCAGACTGTTATGCAAACTATGAATGATCCCAGGAATGAAAGGCTTAACATATGAGGAATGATTGAGGACCCTGAGTCTAAACTCGATGGAGTTTAGAAGGATGAGAGGGGATCTAATTGAAACTTGCAGAATACTGAAACTCCTGAACAGAGTGGACGTTGAGAAGATGTTTTCACTAGCAGTAGAGACAAGGACCTGAGGGCACAGCCTTAGAGTAGAGAGGCACCCTTTAGAACGGAGATGATGAGAAACTTCTTCAGCCAGAGAATGGTCCATCTTTGGAATTCATTGCCACAAAAGCTGTGGAGGCCAGGTCATTGAGTATATTTAAGACAGATAGTTAGGTTCTTGATTAAGGTGATCAAAGGTTACAGTGAGAAGACAGGAGAATGAAGTTGAGGAACTTACCAGCCATGATTGAATGGTAGAGCAGGCTTGATGAGCCGAATGGCCTAATTTCTGCTCCTGTGTCTTATGATATAGGTAGGTTGAGTGATTAGGCAGAAATCTGGCAGATGGAGTATAATATGGAAAAATGTGAAGTTGTCCACTTGGCAGGAAGAATGACAAAAACCGTATTATTTACTTGGTGAACAGTTGCAAGATTCAAACATGGAGGGTTTAGGTATTCTAGCGCACAAGTCACAAAATGTTTGTGTGCAGGTACAGTAAATAATTAGAAGGGTAATGGGATACTGTCCTTTTATTACAAGAAGAAGGAAATAACATAAAAAATGTTATACTTAAGTTATAGAGGATATTGGTGAAACCACATCGAGTCATCCAGCACAGAAACAGACCCTTCAGTCCAACCAGTCCATGCTGAACATAATCCTAAGCTAAATTAGTCCCACCTGCCTGCTCTGGCCCACATCCCTCCAAACCTTTCCTATTCAGGTACTTGCCCAAATGTCTTGTAAACGTTGTAATTTCACCCATATCCACCATTTTCTCAGGAAGTTCATTCCACATCCAAACCACCCTGTGTGTGAAAAGTTTGCCCCCATGTTTTTTAAATCTCTGTCCTCAAAAATGTGCCCCCACGTCTTGAAATCCCCCTTCTTTGCGAAAAGACAACTACCATTAATCCTATCTATACCTCTTATTATTTTATAAACTTCTGTCAGGTCGCCTGTCAACCTCCTATGCTCCAGTGAAGAAAGTCCCAGCCTATCCAGTCTTTCTAACTCAAACATCTATACCTGGCAACATCCTGGTAAATCTCTTCTGAACCCTCCAGCTTAATAATATCCTTCCTATAACTCGGTGACCAGAACTGGACACAGTATTCCAGAAGAGGCCTCACCAATGTTCTGTACACCTCTACATGACTTCCCAACTCCTATACTCAAAGGACTGAGCAATGAAGGCAAGCGGGATGGTGTGCAGTTTTGGTCTCATTTAAGGAAAATGCAAATGCATTGGAAGCAGTTGAAGAGAACCGCAGGGGTAATTTTAGATTGATACCTGGAATGTGTAGGTTGGTTTATGAGGCTAAGATAAGACTCATCTGGTTTTCACTAAAGTTTAGAAGAGTGAGGAGTGACTTGATTGCTGTGTATAAAATTCTAAATGGTCTTGACAAAGTGGAAATGGAAAGGCTGTTTTCTTTAGATGGCCAGTCCAGAACTAGGGACTGCAGTTTTTAAAATGGTGTCATGCTTTTAGGGCAGACATGAGAAATTTTTTAAAGACTGAAGTGGATAGATTCTGACATGGGAACTGCAGGTTATTTGTTGTAGATGGGAATGTGGAATTCGCAACAAGTAGATTAGCTACGATCTTATTGAGTGACACATGCAGGCTTGAGAGGCCGAATGGTTTGTTTACTTCTGCTATTTCATATGTTTGTAGGTTTTTAAAAGAAAAAGAAATTCCTACAAGTATTGAAAATAGTGCAGAAATGTTGGGAATTCACAGCAGGTCTTTAAGTGTCTTACAAAGAACTGGATTCGTGTTTCTGGTGAAAATTCTGATGTGAATCAAAAATAACATCACCATTTGTTCACCATAAATAGATCCGTATAAAATTCATTGATCTTACAGCAGAGTTCAGTTTCCCAACACTATCAAAACTGCTGCACCTTTTCGGGCACTTTAATGTTTTATCTTTATCACCACATGCTTGTAGTTCAGTCTACTTAAAAATAATTGCAGTTTTTTGATGTTCAGTGAAATGATTCAGTACAATAAATTGTGTCCACGTATTGTGTTTATTCATGCTGTAAGCATTGCTTAGGCCAAACCTGTGCACATATGAGGCTGAAAATATATGCCCTGACCCTATTTTAAGATCTTGCGTTGTGTTAAAGTTATTCGTTGCATGTTAAATTTCTCATTGTATGTTCTTTGCTTTCTTTCATTAGAATCCTGCCCAAGGCCTCCTTGGAGTTTGAGTACAGATTCAGGACATTCTCATTATTCACAGCAACCTGTGACTATCCACGAGAATCCCCAGGCTTTTTTGGAAGGTGACAATGAGACAGAGGATGGGGCTGAGCCCCCTGTAGCCAAAAACAGACTGAGCCAGAGAAGCCTCGAGCAAAGTACTGGCAATGAGCGGACTCTAGCCATGCAGGCTTATGGCGCCACTACGTAGATCATGTGTGTGATGATTGCACGTGTATTGTTGGTCCCCTGGGCAACAGAACCTCCATTCACTACCTCAGAGCAGTGACACTGAGGCCAGAATTGGCTATGTATGTTTATGATTAGGCTTGGCAGATCTTCATTAATCTCCTTATCTTCATTTACAACAATCCTCGTAAGGAAGCAACAAAAGAATGATTCACTATTGGGTACGTTGTTCTGGTGTAAGCCACATGTTGTAACTTTAATAGGAGACTTTAGTATTTCAGCCATTATCTTGAGGGCAAAAATGACAATTAGAATTGTGGAATGCTCCCTGAAATATTGGCAAGCCTCCTGGAATCACTAATAAAAATTTAAATTGCCTGCAAGCATTGGCTATAGAAAAAGTCTCCCTCCAGCCAAATAATTGGACCCCTTAATTTTCTTCCTGATGATAGCAGACTGTGTACTCACCAGTAATTCATCTTGCGTTCAGCTCAGTGTCTTCCCCAGAATAAGTCCAGGTTTGGAACACTAAAATCTAAAATCAGGTTGCTGGATGTATATTTCATCGTTCCAGTGAATGCAGTGTGCTGAATGTTACTGATATTGCACTGTCAAAACTGCAGAAAGTAAATTGAACTGATTTGAGAGCAGCAAATGGATGAGTAATCTTATGTAATTGTACTCCTGTCTAAACTGATTTCACAATAACGCGATTGCTAGGTTTCCAGCTCCGGATGGGACTTTCCAATTAGCCTTTCTAAAAGGATCTCATCTTTGCCAAGACAGCAGCTCTCCGTTATAAATGCCTCCAAAAGAACATTCTCTCTTCTCTCCCAAGTGTGACAAGTATGTAGGCAGTCAGCTGGCAGACACCACATTGAGTTATTGGTTATAATCCACCTTCAGTGCATCAAATACAGAGCCATTACAGTGTCTGGACTGCGTTAATGATGTGGAATATACTGATTGAATTGTGAGTTTTTGCAATGCTGCCAGAAGATGATTTATAATGCTGCATACATTCCTGGTTTTTTAAATCATTAAAGTTTTAAAAAGAACTTTCAGTGCTCCAGCTACAATGAACTCAGTGCGACATGAATGCTGTATCTTGCCTGCAAGATTTGAGCAGGACAGTTTTTGGATTGGCACGGGACTACTGCTGAGAAAAAGAAAGATTGGCCTTGACTATCTGCAAGTGCAAGAATTTGAAAATACAAGCTGTTGGTTTAACCAACTAAAGAGCTCATGCTCCAGATTGTCCTTGGCTGTTCAAGACTTGAACTGGAGCCAAAGCAGTGACGACAGCTGTACTTAATGGAATTGAGTGGCAAACACAGTGAAACTGTCCTCCTCGTGGATTGCCATATAATCTTGGCAGGATGATCATAAACATACATGCACGGATTTCATTTTGGCCTAATGGTGATTCCTTGTTAGGTAGCCAGCAGGAGAGAATGTGCTGTGGGGAGATGTCAAACCATTAAACGGTTCCCTGTGACTGATTAAACCTTTCCCCTGGTCACAATGTTCTTGTCTATATTGGAACCTTTGATATAAATTGACTGTTGCATTTATAGCTTTTTATATATATTATATATATATATTCTATACATATGCACATGAGTAAAATCAAATGTGAAGCCTTACATAATGTAAATAAGTTTCCTTTTTTAAATTATGGATTTGAGTGCTTATTGTCAGAACTGGTGAAGTGATGCACGTGATGTACATAGCTGGGCCAGCATCTTCAATTCCACCGTCTGCATTGTCCTGGAACCTGCAGCTTTAACCGACATTTCTAGTTATTGATGTCCAATCACTACAGGTCAATGGAACATGATGAGCAATGGAGCCATTCACTGCTCCTGTGCTCAATTTGAGTTCTGTACATATAACAACCTGAATGTTTCATAATTTCCTGTGATTTTGGAATGTGCAATCCTGTTGTGTTAAAACAAAACATCAGTGTGAGATGGCAGCTGTAAACAGACAGCCCATTCATCAGCTTGAGAAATTTATAAATTCTCCCATTTAATAAGCACCTGTCCTTAAACTTTCTGCATCTACATGAACTCACTCTTAAAATAGATATGATCAAATTGAAGTTGTCCAGTAGCAACAGTTGTGTCTGCAGTCAGTTTATGTTGACAAAAACCAAGTACTGAAATAGAAACAGAGAAAGCTAGAAATACTGTATTCAACAGGTCAGGTAATCTATGTGGAGTGAGAAGAAAAAACAAGTTCATGTTTCAGGCCAATGAACAGTGAAAGCAATTCTGATGAAAGGTCGCTAACCTTGAATATTCAAACTATAAAATGGAGGTGGGGAAACCCTGGCTAGACTCTAAACTCTGTTTAAGCCCTTCAGGAAATAAACTATTGAAGGTCATCTTGCAGGAGTACGAAGTAAGTGATCAGTCATGACTGAATTTTGCCTTTAGATGAACTTAATTCTAATTATGGTCAAAAAGTTACTTTCAGCCCTATATAAATTGATGAACACAGCCTGTTTCCTGCAGGGAAGATCAAAAAACTACTGTAGATACCATACCATGCCCACCATGTTGTGCAGCCATTAGATTGTGCCTCAGTCTGCATAGGATAGGCAGTATCCAGGTCTGAATATGTAGGTGCATTAGTCTTGTTCTAGTACAGGCCTCCAAATGTTTGGAGATTGAATTCAATGAAACTGTTAACTTGTGTTTTTAAATAGGAGAATTGTATGAAAACTTCCCAATTATTGTGGAAACCCAGCAGATTGACTGACTAATGCCTGTCAGAGAAGGGAAACTGCCATTCTTGCATCGTCTGACCCTACATGTCTCTAGTTCGTAGCATGTGGTTGATTCATCATGCTTACTGGTGTCATCCACATCCAGAAAATTATCAACCACAAAGCTGAAAAACTATTAACTGCCAACAGACTTTTTTTTTTGACAAGTGATTCCGTCTATAAAGGCCATCTCAGTGAACCATTTGGGTTTTTTGAATATTCAACGTCTTCCTAATCAGTTCATAATGTTTTCAAGGGATTTGATCTCCTATTCTCTGAATTTTTAATACAAGGTGCATTTACTGGCCTAGGAACAACACCCATATCTGACCTGTTTGTTGTCTGTAGTATTTGCTTTTGACTGTTCATATCCTCCTGTCTTTCCCTTGCTCCTGTGGCAAGCTGCCACCTGATAATATATTAATTGCCACTTGCCTATTTCTGTTTTCTCTCTACTTTTGAGTCACTAGTGGGCGAAATAAGGAGGTAGTAGAATTTCAGTAATAATTCCTCAAAGTTCTGTGGGTTTTTAAACAAGGCAGTGGTAATGATTAACAACAGATTTATCTGACCCGATACTGTCAGCGGTTGTAGTACACTGATTTATTTCATTGATGTCAGGGTTCGTTTCGGTGATTAGTGATTAATGATTTACTTTGGTGAATTATTAAACATTCCATTCTAAAACGTACATAGGTGATTGTGAAGATCTGCTAAGGTGGATTGACTGGTTGGTAATGGATTTCTGGCTTCTTTTTAATTCATCCAAATTTTGGGATTTTACAGACCGGCCATTCAGCCCATTTGGTCTTTGTCAACATTTATGTTCCGGATGAGCATCCCTCCCCTCATCCTACTTAATCTAACATGACTAGTATAACCTGTTCTGTCACCTTTATGCTTGTCTAGCTTCCCCTTAAATGCTAACAAATTCTATATTCTAAAATAAAGAAGTACCACTCTATGGATAGAGGTTTCTGCTCAATTCCCCATTAGTTACCATCTCCTATTTATAGGTTCTTAGGTTTAGACTCTGCGCCACAAGTTGAAACAACTTTGTCAAATCTGTCAAATACGTTGGAAAAATTTTTAAAGAACTCATCAGATTATCCCTCAGTCTTCTCTTTCTCCAGAGAAGGAACCCAGTTTGTTCACTTAGTCCTGATAAATAGAATCTCTTCATTTTACATTCATCCTTGTAATATAATGTTTTTGAAGTTTAATTAGTGCTTTTAAAATCTACAGCATTTCTCTGCTATTGAATTTGTCAATGTGGAAGAGGTTTGGTGAGGGACTGACCTCTATTATAGAGGTGCCCCTGTCACTAAAGTCAGTTGGTTTCTGCCATCTAATGTCTTTGAGATGTTAACATTTTAACAGCTGTATTGTCGTTGTTGCTGAGTTTTCCTGTCATTCTTTCTCGAGCTTTAAGTCTATTCTCGGTGGGTTAAGTGTGGCCTGGCCCTGACCACAGACCCTGTCTGTGTTCCTTCGCTTTCTTACCCTATAAATTCCACCAATGTACATAAACTTGAATGCCTCCTATGCCTCACTCAAAGACTGTTCCATTGAAATTTCTGCTGGCCTGTCATTCCAGCTCTTCAGTATCAAGATCTTCACTCTTGACTAAAGACCTCGCCTCTTCTGCCCAACCTGTTGGACTACATCTCCTAACAGACCTCCTCTGAAACTCCTCCTTTACAGGTACTGTGCTGCAAATCCCTCTTTCCAGCTAGTGGACTCAATCACCCTCTACAGATAATGTGCTGTGGACCATCTGCAACTTCTATGTGCAGGTGTGTGACCAGTGTCTGTCCTTGTGTATATTTGTTGCTCCTCAGTTATCTGTACATTATGTAAAGCATGTGTAAAATAAAGTTTCTGTAAAATATCTTGTATTTCTGAATACAGTAAAAAATATGAAAACTGAGCCGTGGGTGTTTGGAATGTTTAAACCACCTTGTGACTATACACAATGGAATTAGAAGGTGAGAATTAATTGGCCCAATGCACACAAGCTATTTCTAATTTGTAGGCTTTGTTACTGCTTTCTGTGCCTCTGTTATTTAAATGGAATGAAATTGTTCTGGTATTCTCATTTAAGGGGTAATCTGAGGTATTTAAAATAACAAGGGATTCAATGGGTAGATTAAGGAGAAATATTTTTCCCTGGTGGGAATCCAGAACAAGGATGCAAAACCTTACATTTAGACGTAGAATTTAGGAAGGATTTTGCACACAGATTTTAGAAATCTATCCAACAGGCAGTGAATGTTCAAGCTCAGTGAAATTTTCAAGATCAAGGAATGTGGACAAAGTCAGAAGTCACATGACACCAGGTTATAGTCCACAGGATTATTTGAAATCTCAAGCTTTCGGAGCACTGCTCCTTCACCTGATGCAGCGCTCCGAAAGCTTGTGATTTCAAATAAACCTGTTGGAGTATAACCTTGTGTCAATAAATGTGGAGCTGGAAAATCACAGCAGGTCAAACAGCATCTGAGGAACAGGAAAGTCAATATTTTGGACCAAAACCCTTCGTCGAGAGTGGGAGGGGACCGAGAAATAAATAGGGGGTTGGGGCTGGGTGGAGGGTAGATGGGATGGAGATATGTGGATGCAGGTATGGGGGTTATTGTGGATGGTGGATGGTCAATGGGAACGATGGAACGGATAGGTGAGTAGGAAGATGGACACATTGGGGGTGGAGAGACTTTGAAGCTGGTGAAGTCAATATTCAGGTCTTAGGGCTGTAAGGTCTCGAGACGAAATATCAGGTATTGTTCCTCCAGTTTACGTGTGGCCTCACTCTGACAATGGAGGAGGCCAAGGATGGACATGTCACCAGGGGACCAAACGTAAACTGGAGGAACAACACCTGATATTTCACCTTGGGAGCTTACAGTTCAATGGCCTGAATATTGACTTCACCTTCAAAATCTCTCCATGCCCAACCTGTCCATCTTCCTACTCCCCTATCCGCTCCACCCTTCCTATTGACCAACCACAATAACCTCCTACCTGTATCCACCTATCTCCATCCCACCTACCTTAATCTAGCCCCACCCCCCTCTCTCTATTTATTTCTGGGCTCCCCTCCCTAATCCTGATAAAGGGTTTTGGTCCAAAATGTTGACTTTCTTGCTGTCTAACCTATTGTGTTTTTCCAGCTCCACATTTATTGATTCTAGCGTCCAGCGTCTGCAGCCCTTACTCTGTCCAGGACTATAACCTGATGATGTGTGACTCCTGACTTTGTCCAACCCAGTCCATCACCGACACCTCCACTTAAAGGAATATGGGGCAAAGGAGGGGAGCAAAGTTGAGGTGGGAGTTTATTCGGGATCTAATTCAATGACTAAGTGGGTTTGAGGAACTGAATGACCTCTTTCTGATTTTTGTTGGTCCGGGAATGGGGAGAGGGAAGAATGAGAGGTAAACTAGAAACCTAAGCACAAGCATGTTTATGTGCACTACATGATATCTTGTAACAAGCCCTCCCTCCTGATGATGGAAAAGGACTCTGGGCTGGTTCAAAATGCAATCACACTAAAATGAGGTTTGTAAGATTTACATTTTACTCCCAATTAATAAATTTATTAGAATTCAGACACAGAAGGTTGGCTATTCAGCCCATTGGCACCTGTACTAACATTTAACACCCAACAAATTAAACCCATTTCCATCCTTTTTTTTCCTTCCTACAACCCTGCAAATATCCATTCCTTTCGGGTATGTTTTCTCTAGAATTTAGACGGTTAAGGGGATCTGATCAAAGCCTTCAAGGTGTTAACAAGAAGAGACCAGGTAGATAAACTATTTCCACTAGTTGGAGATTCTAGAACTAGGGGCATAGTCTGTGAATTAAAGCCAGACCATTCAGGAGAGATGTCAAGAAGCACTTCTACACGGAAAGGGTGGTAGAGGTTTGGAACTCTCTTCCACAAATGGCAGCTGATGCAAGATCAGTTGTCAGTCTTAAATCTGAGAGAGAACTTCTCATTAAGCAAAGGCTTAATAATTTGTAGTTGAGCCACATATCACCCATGTTCTCATTGAATGACAAAACAGGCTCAAGGGGATGAATGGCCTGCTCCTGTTCCTATGTATTTACGTAATACCCTTTTGAAAGTTACTGTTAAGTATGTTTCCACAACCCTTCAGGCAGTGGATTCCAGATCATAACTTGTTGCATAAAATATTTCTCTTTAACTTTCCAGTGGCTACTTTATTAATTAGTTTTAATCTGTGTTCTCTGGTTACAGACTCTCCTGCCACTGGACTGTTTCTCCTCAACTGAGTACTATTAAATCTCTCCTTTAACCTTCTTTGTTTTGGTCTCTTGACATACCTGAAGTTGCCCATCCCTGGTGCCATTCTGATAAATCTCTGCATGTGTTTGTGGGTAGCTTTTGGGCTCAGTGACCTGTGAATTTTTTTAAATTCTTGCCATCTGCATAACTGAACACTGTTAACAATGATTGAGTTTTCATTAGTAGAGTGCCTTTTCACATCCTCAGGATATCGAGAAGTGTCAAGAGAAATACTCGCAGCATGGTCCCTATTGTAATTATTTCAATTGTAGCAGCCAATTAACACACAACAGGATCCCATAAACAGTAATGCTATAATGGACAGATTTTATTTGTAGGTGTTATTACCCAAGACACCAGGCCAGAATCCTTAATATCCACCTGAAAGGGCAAATTGCTCTAAAATACCCCTGTACATTGCCATTCAAACCACAGCTTTATGCTTGAAGCCGGTAATAAAGCAAGATCTTGCATTTGCATTTCACAAACTCTCAGAGCACTTTCACACCTGGTGAAATATGTTGGAATGTAGAGACCACAGATCAGATGGTCCTCAGTGTGGTCAGGAGCTAAGAAGCAGACATTCAGACTGGTAAGAGTTTTGAAATGTAACAGCCTAGAGCAAAAATATTGTCAACATAGTATGAATCAGTTCTGTTCAGTGGTTCTGTAAGTTGAAACTAACTTTTATCAGCAACATGCTGTTATATGCCTCCAGAATGACTGACTGATAGTGAATAGCAGTAGATGGAAGTTTGGTAGTACAGAACTCATACATAGCTGGGAAGAAAAATACGCTCCACTACCCTTCTAAGCAATGCATTCCAGATTCCCACCACTCTCTGGGTGGAAAAAAAACTCCTCCAATCCCATCTAAATCTCCTGCCTTTCACCTTTATAATTATACCACCTCATTATCGACCCTTCAACTAAGGGAGACAACGGCTTCCTATCCAAGCAGCATCATAGGAGCAGAGAGGCTGCTCCTATGATGCTGCTTGGCCTGCTGTGTTCATCCAGCCCTGCACCTTGTTGTCTGAGATTCTCCAGCATCTGCAGTTCCTACTATCTCGGCTTCCTATCCAGCCTGTCTGTCTCTCTCTCACACACACACACACACACACACACACACACACACACACACACACACAGAGTCTTCTCTGCTCTAAAGAAAACCACCTGATACTGTCGTCCTTCTCCTTTGTGGCTAATATTCTCCACCTCTCCTGTGCAATCACAATCACATTCTTCTTAGTGTGGTGACCTGAACTGCACACAGTTCTCCAGGTGTAACTGAAACAAAGTCCTGCACAGAAAACAACAAATGCTGGAGATCACAGTGGGTCAGGCAGCATCCCTGGAGAACAAGCTGAACTCCTTGAAGAGTGATCTAGACTCAAAACATTAGCTTGCTCTCTCTCTCTCCGTGGATGCTGTCTGACCCACTGTGAAACCAGCATTTGTTGTTTTCAGTACAGATTCCAGCGTCTGCAGTAATTTATTCCTACAAACTCCTATACAGCTCCAACATAGCCTCTCTGCTCTTATTTATGCTGTGAGTGATAAAAGCAAGTGTCCCATATGTTTCAACTGCCCTATTAACCAGTGCTGCTGCCTCCAAGTATCTGTTGGCAAAATTCCCCTGAGCTTCCTAGTGTCCTGCCATTCGCTGAGTGCTCCCTTGGCTTGTTACTTCCAATGAGCATCACCTCATAGTTATCAAGGTTAAATTCCATCTGACCAACCAGTTAAGATTTCTCCTGAGATCTCTGCAAAATGTTTTGCATAGCCAAATTTCTATGTAGTTCAAAGTTTAAAAATAGCTGCTTACTGTTGAATCATGTTTCCATGTCGTATTGGCCCAAGTCTACAGCACAGACCACTCATTATTTTGTTGAGACAATTTGTTGGACGGCTGTCATTCTGACAGATTTTCAGTGACCTATTTACACCTCCAGGGAAACCTTTGTCAGGAAATTTCTGTTTACTGTTGGAGTTAAGTCCAGTCTCTTGTGATTCTTCAAGATAAATACAGTCTGGTTCCAATACTTGTTGAATCCACAAAGGTAATCACGTGGTTTCTGGGAGCCATTTTATAAGATCCCCTGTGTGTATATTAAAGCCAGATTAGCTTTTTATTAACAAAATATGTATAATTAGACATTCACAAATGTGCATTTCACATTCATGTTTTAACAAACTGGGCTTGTTTTCACTGCAGTTTAGAAGCATGCGGGTGACTTGATTGAAATGCATAAAATCCTGAAAGACTGTGGTAAGGTGAATACAGAAAGGATGTCTCCCAGTGGGTGAGCCCAGAACTCGGGGACACGCATGAAAAATGAGTGGCCATACTTTTAGGAAATTATGGAGACACTGAAACTGTGTTGGCTAAACTGCAAGAGATGGATTTCAGTTCAGGTAACTGAGTTAATCTGTTTTAGTCCAGAAAGCACAGTAACAAAATCTAGGAAGAGTGGAGGCCCATGTAGATTTAGGCGTCCATCGATACATACATATATACAGTAGTTATCAGGAACAAAACATCTGATGAAATGTTAAGACTTTGTACAATAGCCTCCTAGTCACAGGGGAGGAGGAACCATTTCTGAGTGTG